GGCATTAAAAGCCATTATGTTTTTCTAATTTTTTTTTCACTTATCATCATCAGTGGTAATTTGGTTAGATGTAGCTGTAATTCTGGCATAGCAGGTGGTAAACCAGCAGGTGGCTGGAAAGACTGGAACTCCCCCTGTTTGCAGTTAGAAGGCGTCAGTGACTGTAAATACCTGTAAATAAATTCAGAGCTGCTTAATGCTGTGATCTGTAAGCTGACAGTCTCTGGAACTTTCCATAAAAAGTGTTAATTTGCATTTGAACTTCCTGATGATGAATAACCCAGACTTTCTAGGTGATTCATCTGTACCGTTTTTCTAAAATTACATGAAGCTTGTTTGACATTTAACAACCATTGTTATTTCCCTATGTTACCTTAACGCTAGAGAATATGTGTGTGGGAGAGAGAAGCTGTGTTTCTGACATTTTGCAACTGTGAAGTTATCAAAAAAGTTTGTCCTAAATTTAGTGGGAATTTGTGTTCTTTAAATACATTTTTTCTTTTCACACTTTCCATTCAAATGCCACCATTTTGCTCAAATCCCTTCAAACTTCTTTATGGGAAATTCACAGTGAAACGAATAAACTGGCTATCACTGTGTTTTACACAAACTAAAGTTATGCAGCATGCAAGTACACACATTTGCAAGCCTCCACAAGATTTTTGGGATTTTCTTGTGATATCAGCTGCATGCCTGTGCCCTGCTTGCAGCAGCTCCAAAAGAAGATAAGACATTGGATACGACAGACAAGAGGATGAAAAAAGGTGTAAATGAAACTGACACCAGGCTTGGAATCATATTTTTAAGACAACTCGATGTTTTCATTATCGGCATAATTAAAGCATTTTTAATAGAACAGTCAGTTACAAAGTTCCCAGATTATTACACAAGCACATTGACCATCTGACCTTGTCATAACTTTCACAGGACTGCAATTCTGTGAAAACTCAGCACACATGTAATGTTTTCACATAAATTAAAAGGACAAATAAAAGCCACGTTGTTTATTTATAATTGGATGCACTTGATTAACTGGTCACCAGCAAGTGTGACCTCTGCTATAAAAGCAGAAGTTCTGGGCACTTTGCTCATCTGGAGCATTCAGGTGTGTGTTAACACAATGTACTGTAGCAACTGTAGCAACAACTTCTCAAGAGTGGACCAGCAAATTCAATCAAAGGTCACACCATGTAATACTTAATACTTACTTAACAGTTGGTGGATTAATCCCTGACTTCTCCAGTTTGCATGGCTAACATCCTAGGGCAAGACACTAAATCCAGGTTGTTCTCTGATGCATTCGTTGGAGTTTAAATATCAGGCAGAGACTTAAGCATAGAAAAAAGTGCTTGTGTGAATGAGACATGTTGTGTAAAGTGCTCAGGTAGAATAGAAAAGCGCTACATAAGAACCAGTCTATTTACCATGTTACATTTCATCACATAACATTAGAAAAACGACTAAACAAGTATGGCCTGTTTGGAAATGATGCCAGGAGAAATGGCTCTGCTTAAGTTTATAAAGCTGCATGTGAACAAACCACAAGACTTCTGGAACAATGTCCTTTGGATTAATGAGACCAAAAGATGTTTGGCTATAATGCAAAGCACCACATACCAGTTATTTGTCAAATAACTCATATCATTTGTCAAGCACAACATTGGAGGGCTGATGATTTGGGCCAAAGGACCCGGGCACCTTGCATTCTTTCACTCAACTGTGAAATCTTTGGTAAATAAAAGTATTCTAGAGCCAAATATGAGGCCATCTGCCTAACAGCTAAAGCTTGGCCACAACTGCCCTATGCAACGGGACAGTGATCCCAAGCACAGCAGCCAATCTACAACAAAAAGACCTAAAGAGAACTGTGCAGAAATGAATGGATGGAAACCTCAATGAAATTGAGGCAGTGCTGTAAAGGAGAGTGGAGTAGAATTCCTCTGAAATGATGCAAGAGACTGATAAAGTCATACACAAAACATTTACAACCACTCATTGCCGGTTGTGCACCATTTCATTGAAGAACATTAATGTTATTATAAAATTTTGCCATTCAGGCAAGCTTGTGTTTGAGTGTAAAAAAATTATCTTTTGTATTGTGCTAGAAACATAAAACGTGCAGCATGTTTTCATATCATCGTTCAGCTCCACCCTCCTGGTGGTATACACCTTAGTCATGTCCAAGATATTTTAAAAAAGCACCTCCCTGTTTGTAACCTAGCATCCCATGCCTTGTTTTAGTGTTTGTTTTCTTGTCTAGGCAAGCTATAACAAATCATTTATTTCCTAAAAGAAGTTAGCAGGAGAGCATAAAAGGAGCCCTTGTCCCCCAGGGCAGACTGCTTATTTCTCAGGCACATTCTTGTGTTAACTGTACCGACTCGCCGGGCTACCGTCAAACGTAATAATATTTAGCACTGGTGGAGCAGGGAGAGAACAGGAAGTTCTGTCATTATGCACAGACAAACATGTGGGAAGAAGAAAGCTAAAATGTGACACCACCCCTGTCTTCTGTGTCTTCAGCGTCAGATCCCAGAGAGCATGGAGCCTGAGAGGACAGCCCCGGGTTCACCAGCTGATCTGGGTTCTAAAGAGACACCAAGTGGACCGGCAAACTCCGGAAAAGAAAAGCACACCATGCAGGATATTTTTTCTGATATCCAGAATGTGGTGGAAAGAAGTAACATAATAAATGTGAGTATCAACCAGTTTTAATTATAATAATATACTGCATTACTGTAGGCTTGCTGTGCTGAACATTTAATAAATGCTACTTGTAAAAGTCAGAACAAAACATTCGGACTCAGGGAATTAAAGTTAAGTGAGCTTAACTGTTTATGTTTATGTCATAAATCTCATAAATCTGCATTAGCAAATAATACATAGCAAGATAGCATGGAAATATAACATGCATCTATATATTTTTTACTTTTTCTGTTTGATTTTCAGTACAGATGCATGTGTCTAAAAATAGCAAGTGCATGGGACAGTGAGCAGATAAGAAAGGCAGTGTTTTGATTGATGCCTGTGGGTTCCCTTGATGCTACTGACAGGAAGTATCTATGAGATACAATGATTTCCTGTTTGTAGTTAGGAAGTCTAATTGCACACAATATACACAGCTGGGGGGGTTTTTTTAGCTTCCATCATCCTAGTTTGAGTGTTTGTTCACGGAAAGCTGAAATAGTTTATAAATTGACAATGATAATTAATCACAAAGATCCCTGGTAAAAGTTATAAATGTTATAATAGTGTAAACCAACCAGACTAAACTAGATCTCTGTGATAATTTATATTGAATGTTTGTATTTGCTGTCTTTACAATATATACACAGTTTCTTGGTTTTCTTGGTTTCACTGCCCTATCTGTTATTACAGCTATGTCCTTTCAGTACATGTTTTTTTAAACATAATTCTTCAGTCCATTTTTCCCAGCTGTATAATGTGGTAAACAATTCTGGATTACTTAAATGTAGCTATTTTATATTATTTTTTCACTTACATTACTTTCCGTAACATAATATTTTTTGTGTCTAACTCTTGTATTGCTCTTTTTTTTTTTAGAGAACACCACATATAGATTTAAACTGGTATCTGAAGTCTTCTCCTGGTGAACAACAGATTCAGTTGGTACGAACTGTTCAAAAGATTCTCGCATGTCGATATCAACCAGCCCGACTCAGTGTCATAGCTATGACCAAACAACTGGAGGAAGCAAAGGTATACACTCTAGTTGTATTTACGTCTTTCTTGCAAGAATATGCAGATTTGTTAAAATTAAAAATTGCACAAATATCTATAAATGTCTCATCTGTGTACTGCAGGAGTACCAGCGCACTGTGCAGGAACAAGTTGCTACTTTAAAAAACTCAGGTGCCTCTAAGGCTTGTGAACCAAGTGCCTTAAACAGTGCTGCAGGCCAATGGAGCGCAGCACTGCTAGATGCTTCTGCCACAGTGCAGGTCAAAGCAGCACAACTGGAGCAGGTCAAACAGTACCACAAGCAGATGAAGCTCACCAGAGCTTTTCTGGAGGTTATAGCCGCTGAGAAGGAAAAAACGAGCTTGTGAGTAAACTTGTGAGCTGGATTTTGTGCACTTGGCGTTTGATACTGTTAACTAATTGTTGTTTTGTTGTTCTGGATTTCGTTAGACACTCTTTGGGAAGCAGTGCACTACAGGCTGAAAAGCTTCATGTGCTCCTGCAAACAATGGAACACAAGAAAGCTATGATGGAAGGTTTGCTACGCTTAAGTAGACAGTTGTCAGTGCACTTGAGTGACGCTGAAAGTTCAGGTGCTCTTCTTGGTCAGCTTGGAAATGTTCAGGAAGAATGGCGGCTTCTAAAAGGAAGTATCAAAACAGCTCTGCGGCATGCCTCCAACTCCACCTGTCAATCCTCCCTTCTTTTGAAAGAAGCCGAACAGCTAAAAGCCAAACTTGAAGCTCTCCAGAAATCCGACTGTCAAAACCTTGACAGCAAAAGTGCCTTGGAATGTGTTTGTCTGACCACAGACCTAAAACTGTATAACCAGCTTTACATACATTTACAGTCCCAGTCAGATGCTCTCAACAATTTCTCTCTAGGTCAGAAGGAGAAAGATGAAATCGAGCATAGTCTTCAGGAATTGGCTTCCTTGCTCGGGGTCACCAAAAAGAAACTTGATTCTGTCACACTTAGCTGTGGTGACAGTTCTCCAACTAAGATCAACAAACAGCTACGAGACTTGATTGTATGGGCTAAGCAGGCAGAAAATCATATCTCTATTGGGAAAAAGTTAGCTCTTTTCCCAGAGGAGGCTCGTATTCAGATTGTCGAAATGAGGAAATTTCAGGCTGATATTTTATCTAGACAGTCCAAGATGAGAGTACAAGTTGACGAGATGAAAGACTTGGCCTCTAATATGGAAAATGAAGAAAGTGACCAAGTGTTGAGGACAGTAGAAGACCTTTATGAAGCTATTGCTGACAGTTTGGATCTTGTTCTTGACACCATGGAAAAAGATCTTAAACAGAGAGAGAAACTGTTATGCGAGCTTGCTAGCATGGATGCCTGGTTAGCAGAAACGCATGCTAAAAGAAACCCCTGCGCTCACATTGAGAATATTTCAAAAGTGGACCTCAAAAAGCTAGAGAACGACCTGAAAAGTCATGAATTAGCCACAGTGGATATAGAGAGCCAGCTAGAACTGGTGGAAGTGATGTCAGAAAGTTGCAGGAAAATAGCCATAGGGTTGAGTCCAGCAGAGAGCCGCTATCTTGTCAACAGACTTTCAGGCCTTTGGACAGAATTAGATGGATTGCTAGCTCATGAGAAAGCCACCAGCTGGGAATTAAAGGAGCTGATTCATGAGTGCACTACTTCAGATGAAGAGTTATCTTCCATTCAGGCTAGTTTAAAGCAAATTTCTGCTGATCTAGAGCAGCTGAAGATCCCTTTGACCCAAGAAACCCTTTCAGTGATTGCACAATGGAAACACATGCTAATGGAGCATCAATGTCAAATCCAGGAGCTTCAGCATTGCCTGGAGCCCAAGCGAAGCTCTGTTCTGTGTTTTATCGGGGAACTGGAAGACCGGTTCAAAGCTCTTAGCATAAGTGCCTTTGAACAAGAAAAGTTTCTGCACCTAAAGACACAAATGGAGGAATCTAAAGATATTGTCAAAGAGCAAATCCAGAATGCCAAAAACAAAGCACTCGGTGTGGATGAGAGGTTTAAACTATGCCAAACAGTCCTCGTTGAGATTCCTTTAGTCAAAACACAAAGTCAAGAAGCAACAGATCAATTGGAGGTTATAGCTCAGGAGTTGCACCCATCTGTTCTTCATTTAGAGAGGGAAAGGATTCATCATATAGTTGATACTTTGGAGTCTTGGGAGACTCTTGGCACAGATGATATCAAAAACCTAGAAGCTCAGCTCCTGCTAGGTTTACAGTTTGACTCAGAGCTTCCTGCTTATATAGAACTCTTAGAAAGCATAAGAGTCGAGCTGGAAGGAACTGAACCAGTCAGTCCAGAAGAAACAGCCATAGATATTGCACTACAACGATACTGGGTCATTTGGCGAAGTATGGAGTCTGGGATGCGAGTTTTGGAAAATTTGGGACAGAAAGAAAAAACTGACCTGGGGAACTACAAGGAACTATATTCACTTCGAGATTCAGTCATGCAAGAATGTCACTCGCAGATGGTAAGCTTAAATTATTTAGATATTTCATATATAGTTCATATTTTGGGTTCATGTTTGGGTGTTTTCAAAAACTCTTCTTTATTGTGTAACATCTGTTCAACAGGTCATGCTATCACAAGCTAGAGATTCCTTGAAAGATTATCACTGGGCTGCTCAAGGAGCAATAGGCTTCCTACACAATGCTGAGGCAACATTCTTGTCAGCTACTGGAGGGTTTTTGGATTGTGCTGAGGAACAAAGACAGACCCAAGAGGCTTTAGAAACTCTTGAAAAAGGTTTTCACGCTCATATTTGCCACCTTGTTGAACGGGTACCTCGTGAACCCTGCCTTTCCTTCCCAAAGACCGAGCAGCTCCACATCAACATCCTCAGCCAGCTAATGGTTGGAAGAGCCATACTGGAGGCCCAGGCGCAGCTCAGGCTTGAGACCTTGCAAAGGTACTTGGCTGTTCTCAATTTCTAAATGTAAATCTCTGTACCTTTGCGTCTTATGTATTTTCTTCACATTTCTTGTTCTCATAGGTGTGAATTGAGACAGCAAAGTCACCAAAAGTGCCACAAAGACATTTGTCAACATCTTTCACAGTTTGAGGAAAGGCTTTCAGAATGTGCTGCAGAACATGTGACATCATATGACAAATGTGTTGCCCAACAAAGAAGAGCTCAGGTAGCTTAGAGTCAGCTTTATGTCATTATCTCTACGTATTGTATCTGTTTGAACCTGGCATTTAATCACTTTGACAGCATAGAATTGTTAACTGTTTAGCCATGCTTGCAAAAATGCTTTAAGAAAGACAGTGCTAATCCAGCTGACTTTGGCTGCTTAAAATATTTCATTATCTGTTTGACTTTCATGATTTTAAATTTTAACTTTCATTACATTTTCAAGCTTCTGATGGAAGATCTTCACGGTCTTGCTGGGAGGATAGACGACCTGAGAGCTGTTTGTCCAATGCAGGGTTGTGGGGTTGGAAAGGATGGTGAGGTTGGTGCCCTCTGGAGGCACTGGTTGTCATTACTTTGTGATGTTGGCCTCCTGATGGTACGCATAGAGCAGAGAGGAGAGGAGTGGAAAGACATTACTGCAAGCGTAAGTTTAAATCTCAATAAAGCCTTTCGTACATTTAAAAACAAACAAATAAATGGCAAATTAAAACTGAATTAATATTTTTTACCTCTTTTGAAACTTTTGCTTTTCACTAACCAGAACTTAGTATGTCAAATGACTTTTACTGTTTTCTGATTAAAAAGACAGAGAAGTGATCCATAGATATTGATGCTTCAATTTGATTTTCTTAGATGGAGCAGTGCTGCAGCTTTTTAGCCAGACTTCAGGCGGAGGTTCGAGACCCCACCACTGTGAACTTCACTGGAGAGGATCCACAGGAGCTTCTCGCCCTGGCTGAGATCCTTCAGACAGGTTTGGAGCAGGAGCAGCAGGACCTGGCCTCCCTGGAGCATCGACTGGAGCACGCCCTGAGCTTATCAAGTTCCCCAGGGCCTATTGGCAAAAAGCTGGTGAAGATCCAAGAAAATGTCAGGAGGTGGGACTTCTTTAATATACATTTAGAAAGTGATTATTTATTTATGTCGAGTATGCTGAGAAGATACTTTTTTGCCCACAGCTTAAAAGAACGAAACCTGCTGGTTGTAGCTGCAGCCCAGGCCGAGGAGAGAGAAAGACGACAAGTTCAAGAAGAGATGGGACAGATTCAGAAACACGTGTTTCTCATTCTTCCGGCACTGGAAGCATGTTTGAATCCAAGCGAAAGACAGGTGGGCTTCGTCTTTTAATGTTTGAAACTTGGTATTTGAGATTTTGTAGAGAGAGATATTAAAAAACAACAATAATATGGCTTCTTATATGCATGTAATAACAAGTAATCATCTTTAAGTGTTTAACATGTCCAATTTTATTATTCTCATTATTCATAAATGATGAAATATTACTTTCTTATGAGTGTTAGATTTGAAGTTGTTCACATTATAGTGAGAAATTCAAGCTAAATAACAGTCAAGTTGCAAATTACACAATTTAAACTGTTTTTTTAGGTACTCTTCTGTCCAGGTCCTCTCATTTGTAAAAAATCAGGGGTGCAGTAGAGGGAGTAGAGTATTAAATGTCTGACCCACACTCCCAGTCTCTGTCTGATTCCTGTATTTTTTGTCCTTTCCACACTGACAGGAGCTTAGAAAGGAGTTGTCTTCCCAGAAGACCAAGCTTAAGTGCATCACAGACAGTGTGCAGAGCCGATACACAGAGGTTCCTGTGGATATAGGCAAGCAAATACAGGATCTCCAGATGTCTCTGCAGAGAGCAGAAGAGAAGGTGACAAGAAATATGATTTCAAACTGTTGAGATCTGTTACTGACAGATAAATGATCTTAAGCTAAAGTCCGTTGGTGCAAATGTGTTTGTGTATGTGTCACACAGCTCATAGAGAACAGCCTCGTTAAGAAACTGGCTAGCAGAGTGCTGGAGTTGGGTTCTGGCATGGAGAAGGTGAAAGCATTACTGGAGCAGAGAAGTCCAACAGTCAGTGAAGCTCAGAATGTCCTGAAGGTGTGTGTATTCCTTGTTTTCTGTTTGCTTGTGTGTCCACGTATGAAAAATAAATAAACCCACTGTTTAATTGTGTCTTGTTAACAACTTTTTAAACTTTCTGTATTTTCAGTGCTGACTGTTTGTGTGTCCATCTGTCAGTGAGATTATGCAAAAGCTTCTCAGCTGAAATTATTCAAATTAGTGCAGAGGCAAAGAAAGAAGAGAAAGTGATCTCGCTCACTTTCATTTATAGTATTTTTGTAGGTTCTCAGTCATCCAGGTCAGTAGTAGCAGTCTGAAAAAAAGCCAACCAGACTTCTTTAAATTTATAAAGATGCATCACCTCTCACTCACAGAAATGTGGATCATTACCACTGTGAGACCTTCCCCTACCTTTTTTTGTGACCTGTTGTGAGTGGGTGGGGAAGCATCTGGGAAGGGATCTAAGGATTGCATTGCATCTCTGTTCAGTGATAGTCGTTCCTTTACTCCTCTTTCAAACTATCTGTCTTTTGGATCCTCGAAAGTGTGACCTTTACCCATTAAGTGTAGTTGTAGAGCTGAGTCTTGTCTTTTTGAAGTGCCTCTTCTGTGTTGTGCCATATATTTGTGCAGTAGCTGTTTTGGTTTCTCCTATATAAAGTTACAGGCACACCTCACTGTACTGCACAGCATACATGTTGTTTAGTTTGCGTTTGGGAGTTTTGTTGTTGCAATGAACCTGATGAACCAGTCTTTTACTGTGAAATTCAACTTTGAATTCACAGCTCTTTACTTATTATCATTATTATCTTTACTCATAAAGTATGCTATAATTTGAGTAACTATTTAACTTCAGATCTCATTTGAAAAGTTACAAGTTGTATAGCTGACTAAGATAAAGTCAGATTTTCTTCAACTTCCAGCCACTTTGAGTGACCTCCACAAGCTGTTTGTCAATTTTATTCAAGCCAAATGAAACAGCTACAGATTCCTAAGAACTAATGCTAATCCACATTACCATCTTGTTCTTCAGCATGTGTGGGATGAGCTGGATGCCTGGCACAGCAGCTTGATGCTCCTGGAGAGCGAGGTGCAGGATCTTGCAGAAGAGCAGCCGGATCAAGCCCAGCTTCTTATTGACCAGCTCACACAACCCCAGCAGCTCTACCAAGATGCAGCACAGATGGTTGAGCAGCGTACAACCTTTCTCAGCAAGGTCTAGTGCCACTACTATTGCTGCTCACCAATATAAATATATTAAATACAAATCATTTGTAGGCTACATATGCTTAATTTATTTTAGCTTACCACTCCATTTGACTGAATGCTTCATTTTCCATATATCGTCTTTTATGTTAGATCCCAAAGTGTCTTCAGGAGTTAGAAGATATTCTGCATAGCGCCACCCGCTGGTTAGGTGAGGCCCAGTCATGGCTCAGTGCTCCCTGCTCATTCACAACAGCAAAAAGCCTCCACAATCATGCAAAGTCCCTGCAGGTCAGTGAAGAAACACGCTAACTTAATTCTTTTGTTTATATCTGTTTTATGTAATCTTCATGTCTTTATAGTTTCATTTTTTTCCTACATGTATCCATAGATTGTATCCTCCAGTAAACCTCTGTATTTAGGCCTGTATTAAAATGCATTGCCATTCCATGGTCACAAACAATATTATAGTGTAGTATAAGTACTATAATAGTATAATAATATAGTATATATTTCTTATATGTCTCAAAATTAACTTTACAAATTGCCTCACAATGGCAATGAAACAGCATATACAAGTCATAAAATATCAACATAACATTAAAATCAAATAAAAGTAAAGTAAAGTAAGTAAAGTAAATCAGAAAACTATACAATCTACTATGTTTATTATGTTAAAGGTGTGGGAAACAACTTTAATTTGACTTTGACATTGGATAAACTGAGGTACTGTACCAAGGAGAAGTTTAGGATAATAAAGATCATTTTTGAACTGTGACTCATGCAAAGCTACCCGAGTAGAGTCCAAGAATAAACATTTTGATCTAAAAAACAAACCTAAGGGGTTCCCTTTAACAAATGTTTCTTGTTAAATTTAAATGAGATTTAAATTTCTGATCTACAGCTGGTCCTGGATGACTCTGAGATGATCAGGGGGAACCTGCAGGATTTCAGGTTGGTGCTGGGTGAAATCTCTGCAGTGTGTGACATCAGTGCCCAGGAGGAGAGGCTGGAGCAAAACGACCAACAAGTCCTCAAAATGCAAGGCAGCATCCTCGAGCCACTGGAGCAGCTCTTGCAGGCTGTTGTAGTAAGAATGTTAACACTTCAGACTTTTGGGTTGTTAGCGATATCAAGTGTTCCAGTTTGGGGCACATTGAGTGGAATTTCTGTACTTGCATTGTAGCTGGATTTTTGAAGATTGCAAGCATTTACAGTACAGACAGCAGAAAGTGTCATAAACATTAGTTATAATGGTGGGCATATACAACAGTGTTCATACAAAGCTAAATGTCTAAGACAATTTTCATTTCAGGTGGTGGAGGACATGGAAGCTGAACTTAAGACTGTGGAGAAAAATGTGCTGAAAATCAGAACAATTTTATCCTCCATGGACGACTCCAATATGTCCCTGACAGAACATTTGCACAACAGACAGGTACAGCAATGCAATTAGATAGTGATTTATTTATTTTTTAAATAGTTTAGTGTGGTCGCAGTAGTACCGGTATAATAATAGTAATATTACTGTTATTACTAAACTGAATGGCACTGAGAGCAATTTACAAGGAAGTAAATTGAATGAAATACAACATAAAAGATGACATCGGTGTAATTAAAACACTTGTATTTACACTGCTCAGTGTTCCTGGATCAACTCATTTAAAGGGTGTGTCTGATTTTACCATCTTGGTTCATTTGTATGAAGCACAGTTAATAAAAGCAGTTTGTCCACTTTGATGATTTTTGAAGACAAAATAGACCTACTGGAGCATAAATTGATCTGTGGTTATAAAAACACGTAGGACAACCAGAAGATTTCTCAATAAGAAGTTTAGAAACAAATGCAGCGCATTTCTTTCAATCTTTACTAGAAACATGTAAAGATGTATACAGTGAAATATAAAGCAGTTTAAGCTACAAATGTTTGTAAATGTAAAGAAGTGGCAGTGGCATAGATGAATGCTTAAACCTATCTGCTATCTCTCTCATATATATGGGGGAAAATGTCAAACTAACAGTTTGCACGTGTTTCAGGTGATCCAAGATAATTTGTGCTCAATGCAGAGGATGTTAGAAGATCTAGAAAAATGCAAAGGAGAGCTTCACATCCCACAAAGAGCAGAAGAAGGCCTTCAAGTCTACTCCAAAGCCAGGCTGCTCCTGCAGTCACTCGAGGAGCTGGAACATCTCACACAGCAACAAGCCTCTCTGCTTGAGGTACAGCATGTCTGAATCCTAGCACACAGGCAAAAATAAAGATTTTGTTTTGCTATAAAAGAAAAAAATGGTCCAACAAAAGGTGCTTATGATGCTGTCCTTACTTTGCTGATATACTTTAAAGTTTGAACTACTGTATGAAGCAACACTCATTCTTGTCGCCAACTGGATCCTTGTTTCAACACAGTGGATTTGTTTTTTTATGAGCCTCTGTCACTGCTTCCATTCTTTCTTAAATGTTCTCGTCTCTTTGACTAACCTAGAACAAGATCAGAGAAGAGGAAGAAACAAGTGCGATTCTTGCAATCACAACAGGCTCTCATACTCCTGGACAAATGCAACAGCTGGACACACATCTAGTCCAGGTAACATTTAGCTAAATAACTAAACCAGCTAAACAAATCAAATAACACTTGTGTGGTCTTTGCTCTTTGCTGTCGTGATTGAAGTAAACCTTCTTCTAATCATTTTGTGCTTGCAGTTCTCAGCAGCTTTTGATCAAATTGTTTTGGGAGAGGAAAAACAAATCACAATGTACAAGATTTCTTCTTATTGCCAAAATTTAAAAGTGTTCTTTGAGCTCAGAAATCCGGTAGAACTGGTGAATCATTCAAGTGCAGTGACTATCCCCCATTCACTCGCTTCACTCTATTATCTGGGATTAGATGAACCTTGCTGTTAGAATCCTGTGTGAGAAAAAAATACCATACCACCTTTATTTATAAAGCACTTTAACATAAAACCAGAGTTCACAAAGTGCTATACATGCTAATAGCATAAGTAAAGAAAATTAAAATGAGATAAGTTAAAATAAAATAAATAACTAAAAACTAAAATAAATTGAAACATGTTAAAACAAATTGAGTCAACCCCTCTAATCAATGCCAAAGGATTCAGCGAATAAATATGTTTTAAGAAGACTTTTAAATTCAGAAAGAGAAGAGGCCTGCCTAACATGCGAGGGTAGATCATTCCACAACTTTGGAGCAACTACAGCAAAAGCACGATCACCTTTAAATTTATACTTAGTTTTCGGTACCTTAAGGAGCTGCTGATTGGCGGACCTAAGGGAACGGGCAGGTGTATATGGTTGTAGTAGCTCCGAGAGATTTAAACGCAAATAAGAGAATTTTAAAAACAATCCTAAAATGTACAGGTAGCCCGTGGAGTGAAATTAAAATTGGGGTAATGTGCTCAGACTTTTTTGTTCCAGTTAAAAGACGTGCTGCAGCATTTTGCACAACCTGCAGGCGCCTAATGGACGCATCACTAACCCCAAAATAAAGTGCGTTACAATAATCCAGCCTAGAAGTAACAAAGGCATGGATTACTGTCTCAAAATGCTGTTTCGATAAGATAGGCTTTATTTTGGCTAATTCCCTCAAATGAAAAAAGCTAGATCTTACAACAGCTCTATAAAATAATTATATGAGCTGTTCATCAGGCTCAAGGAAGTCCAAAAATCTTTGTTTTAGGGGGGAATTTCACTGTTGTACTACGGTATTAAAAAGCTGTATAACTGTGTTTTGAGATTAAATTAAAGAGGTCTAACCTTGTCCAAAAATAAAATTATATTTGTAAAATTGCAGATAAAACTCAAAAAATAGAATGAAAGTGCAGGAGGAATGAAATGGTGACTGCTGCTAATAAAAACTTTAACTTCAATATTTACTGATATTGTTGTTAGATAAAGAAGAGTGATGAGAGTCGATAGAAAAGCAGTTTTTTCTTCCAGTTTTCCTTTAAATCACAAATTTGATCATATATCCACCCTTATCACTGAAAGCAGGGGGCTTTTGAGGTGTCTAACTCAGAGGAAGAGGAGGATGAGGATGACGAGAGTTGTCACTCGTCATCCTCTGACACACTAACAAGCAGTATTCCAGAGGTAAATCAGATGTAATTACATCACATGAGAGCATGTCTCTGGGTACCTCTGTCTTTTTGGTTTCATTCCACAATTTCACATTCATTATTTAAGCTCTCTGACAGAATTTCAAGTAACACACCCACAGCAGCAGAACGTGTAAGACTTAGCAAATATTTTCTAAAAATGCACGGGATTTTAGGTCCTTTGGAATGACACTCTGAATGTCTTGGGCTTCCTCTACTCTAATTATTCCTTCTTTATTTGTTCCTTGTGGTCAATCCATCATATCATCTCATAAAATTAGTGACCATCAAAGATTTTCCTGAAAAAAATTACATAATGATTCTTAATTTCTTTTTATATAACATCCACATCCTTGCTGTACTTAGTTCTCTGAAAAGAAAATAGTTCAAGGGATGAAGATAAGAAAACTACTTGAGCTTGGTCCAAATTTTTTAAAGCAATTATAAGATTCTATGGCTGTATGAATATGGATCATTAAGGGTGTAGCTACTTTCTCCCATATTCTGATATCTAGTTTGAGGTCATCTTAATCACATTTACATGCTCATATTCATTAAGTTTCTGCCAAGTGACTATCTGATTAGATATTTGTGTTAAAGAGCTGTTGGAGTGGTGTGTCTAATTAACTGGCTAGTGAGTGAATGTATTGCAGTGGCACCCAGTGCAGATACTTTTTTCTTGCTCAGCTGTCAGGGTAAAACATCAAACAGTTTTTGCCTGGTGTACATAAATATGAGTATTACAAAAACTCATATTGAGAGAGAACATCGTCACAAAAGAGAAACATGTTCTTTCTAAAAACATTAACTGGAATATTACACTGACAGTGGATGCTAATGTTTCTTTTCTCATATTCATGCATCAGTATCGGTGAAAACATTGGCTTTGATTTGGACTCTTTTAAAGGATATATGTGTTGTATATTAAATTGTGGTTTCCACAGGTCTCCACATGTGTTGTCAGAGATCATTCATCTAAATAGTGATTTCAGGCATCCATCCTTCTACAGTATATAAACCTGAGCTCCACTCCTGCGAGCCATACTGCCAGATTCTTTTAGCCTGAATAAATTGAAGGATGTAGCTCAAGCAGTTTTCTACATAATAGAATTTTAAGATGGACCCTCAGAGATGATGCTAAAAAACATCTAAAAACACTCCCACCATCTCTCTTTCAATTGCTTCATTTTGACAAAAGAAATAATGACAGCAGGGACCTGAAATTTTGCAGAATTCCTATTAAAAAGTATATTTTTTCCCTGAAATTTGTTCAGGTGAATCTGAGATGATCAGGTGGTAGGTATTTGGTGAACTGACATGGAATCACCCCTCGATGTAATTCTGTTCACAATTTCTAGCACTAATACTTTATCTTTTTCCTGTGCTGTGGAAGAAACCAGGAGATTTTTGCATGCTCTTAATGAGCTGTGTGAGGCAGGTCATTGTGTTTGCTGATAACCCCACTCTGTCGCTGTCAGAAGCAGCTGCTCCTCAGAAACCTTTCCTTTCATACACACACCCAGGATGAGAATAGCATGAGTAATTTATATGTGTTTGTGCAAGGATTTGGTTTGCATTTGTATATTCATACAACCAATATGTTAGGACCCTGAGGACACGCTCAAGCTTTCAGAAGTGCAAAGGGAGGATATGGCAGAACATAAGCCACCGTCACATACGAAGGTAAATAATCAGTTTCATATTGATATATAAGAGTATTTATTGCCTTTTCTTTCAATAATATGCTCTTTTTATAAACATTTTCATAAGATTTTTTAAAACTAATCTTAATATACCTACCATAAGTTGTAGTTATTTCTAGTATCATCTTTCATTTGTCTTTCAGGACCTGGAGGGTATGCTTCATCAGTCTTCTGAATGTGCAGAAAAGCCCGAGTTAGATATCAACTTTGAAGCCAAACAAGCTGAGGCTGGAATAATAACACCTGATGCTAAAGCTGATTTTGACGTAGCACTTACTCCTGAATCTGTGACCGCTCAGTCACTAAACACTGCAGCCGTCCCTGCAGCAGAAGGCCAGCTTAAAGCTGCTGCTGTGCACCAGCATGATTTACCGAAACACGAAGCCTTTGATGCTGACCCTCGCACAAACACCCCTCAGGCAGCAGCTGGAGCGGAAGATACAAGGCTGATTCCTTCAAGACCCATAACTCCATTTGCTGCTGGAAGAGCATCAGATGAGCTGATAGAGGAGGAGAAGCTGTCGCTGTCCACAGCTCCCAATTCAGATCTGGTAATTGTCTGAAGATTCAAAGAGATGTTGATCAAAGTTATTTAAGCCTAAGTAAATGGTTTCATGGACATTTAATTTAACAATAAATATACATATATATCTTACTTGGAGTAATAACTCAAAGTCAACTTTGACATTGGGCGCTAACTCATGTCCCCCAAGATCCATTGTTGTGAAGTTTCGAGACTTTCTATAAAAAATTGTGGATAATAAAAAGTTTTTACTTTTACATTTGGTGTGACCTTGACCAACACACAACATTTGAAAGGATCTCTTGAAAACTGTGGACACTAGACTGCTTACAAATAGACAGGCAAACAAACAAAGGGGGGCGATTACATACTTTCTCCCTTTTGGAGGGGAGGGGAGTGATAACTAAGTTTGCAGAATTAGTATTTAAAGTACCAGATTAATAACTTTTTTGTTTGTTTTAACAGGATGTTTTTGATAGACTGAGGGAGCAAACTGAAGTCAGCACCAGTTGTTTTTTGGGAGGATCCCAGCAGTTTTCTGTTGAGCCAATCAGGTAAAAGTTCCAGTTGTAGTATTTTAGTTTTGGACCTCCTCTTTACACAGCATATCAAAGGCTCATAAACTTTTTGTGGTCCCTAGTTTGCCTGGACATGAAAATGTTAACCCCAAGCGCCAAAGGTGGAGTCACCTTCATTCCCAGATTTCTGAAAAAATAACCACTTTGAAAAAAGTTAAGGAGAACCATCAAAGCCAGAACAGAGAAGATGCAGAGAACAGACAAAAGGTAAGAAAACAGGAAAATAACCATTCAGTGCTTGAATCTGTAGTATTCAGTCAGACTGCATGATGTACATGAGGTGTGAGGTGATAGAAGTAAAATTTTTTCTAAAATGTGGATGTCACCAACATAGCCATTACATCTGTTACCAGAGCAACCAGGTTACAAGGTTCGCCAATCCTTTCATCCTGTCCTCCGTGCCAAAGCTCATTTTGTTTTCATATCTGTGAAGCTGCTTGTCTTCCACAATGAAAAAGGACCCACAATGAGCAAAAGAATATCATTATGAGCGTTCCCTCTGCTGCTAAAAGACCCGATTTTGTTTTACTGGAAGCAAAATTATGGATCCGATATTACTGAATATGAAAGGACGAAGCAGGGGATGTAACTCCTGCCTCTGCTCAGTTACACCCTTGTTGCATTCTGTCTTTTTCCTTCACCTGCTGTTAAACCTTAAGTTCAGTTTTCTCTTTGTGTTTAGGTTCCAGATGAGGCGTCGAGGTCAATTGGATCTACTTGTGCAGCACTTCAGCACACACAGGAGGCCATCACTATGCTAAGAAAAATAGTATGTATAATAGAAAGAGACTTTTTAAGTGCGTTCCTGCTGAAAGTATATTGATCTAGATACACAGGTAGTACGCTCTCTCACAAATAACTGACTAACATGGAGGACTGAGGCTCAATGAAATAATCAGTTGTATTTCTGAAAAGTACTTCAAGCACATGAAGGCACAAAGATGGATTTTTTTTAAATAGGGCTACAAAATAAGCAATTACCAAAAGGCTTGACTGGCTATTTCCTGGCAGCTTTGTCTTTATAATCATAAAACACCATTTTTAAGGACAGTTCTTTTCATATAAATGTATTTAAAGTTTTTCATGTCATTCAAGTCAAAATCAAATCAGATAACATGCTAGACACAATTTGTCCAGTTTTTCATCTCGGTACGGAATATAAGATCTACTAACTCTGTTTATACATTAGTATCAACAGGTTGGGATGTAGGAATAGCATAGTAGTAAATAGTAAACATCACTAAATTAAGAAGAATGAGCCAAAATATTCAGAGAATCTGACCTTTAAAAAACTGTGGTAAGTTAAACTGATGATTGTGCTTTTTCCCAGGTGAGCTCCACCGATGGTTCTCATCCAGGTGTGAAAGAGGAGTTTTACGAGGCTATACAGCAGGTCCTCCTCTGCCTCGATTCTTTGACTGACCTTCTGTTGACTTGTGGTAGCACGGGTGAAGATGAACCTCAGCTGAGGCTGCTGCAGCACGAGGTGACTGTTCAGTTAGTTCCCTTTTGCCATCAGAGCTGCCTTTATTCTTCACATATCTGCTCACATAGCTGCTACACACGTACTTCACATCCACAATGTATGATCCCACATGGATTCAGAGCTAATGACTGTGACATTTGAGGGCAGCGAACTCATAGTCATGTTCAAGAAACTAGTCTGAGATGATTTGAGCTTTGCCGCATGGCACGTTATCCTGCTGGTATCTACCATCATAGATAGGTATATTGCAGTCATAAAGGGATGGACATGGTCAGCAACAAAATCTGCATACTTTGGGTGTAACAAGTGGTTATGTGAGCTACTGTTGCTTTCCTATCTATTAAAGCAGTCTAGCCATTCTCCTCTGATGTCTTGCATCAACAAGGCATTTTCATCCACAGAACTGCTGTTCACTGGATATTTTCTTTTTTTCCTGACTGTTCTCTTTAAACCCTAAAGATGGTTGTGTGGGAAAAACCCAGTAGATTAGTGGTTTCTGAAATTTTTAGATCAGCCTGTCTGCCACCACAACCATGCCACATTCTTCCCATTTCTGATGGAGTAATGTGTGTATGTGACACAGAGTGAGGAGCCAAGGTACTTGAGTCAATCTGGGATAAAGGAACGAATGGTGCTAAAATACTGGTGGGAAAATGGGAAAATAGAAGCTAATGGTGACAGTAATAAAGAGTGAACTGATGTGATATTTGCTTTCCGGAGCATTTGAATAGACGTTGCAGTGGCCAATGAATCTATCCATTACTATTATATCTTTTTTTGTCTCTCTGTAAAATTGAATGTCAGGGTTGAATTTTTACTTTCGGTTTGTCCTTTTTTGTGTTTTTGTGTGCAGTGTATATCAGCTGAGCTGGGGACCCTCTCTGAACTGATGAGTAAAGTAGTGTCAGAAACCAGGCCTCAACTTTCAAAGGAAGAACCAGATGCTTACAGCTGTTTGACCTGCCTTCAGGATTGTCTTCATACAGCTCAGCTGGTCTTGACCTCCTCCCACAATCAGCTTATTGAAGATCCAGGCCTTAAGGACCCTTGCAAGGTTTGAAATAAATTAGAGCTCACTGTCGACCCCTTTCCCATCTTTTCCCAGGACTAGATCAAATATGCAATTTTTACTTGCAGCAAAACCCAAATTCTACAGTAGCACTCAGAAACAACAGACTCTGTGAATAGTACATGTTTTACATGTCTGTGGTTGTGCAGAAACTGTGTCACTAAAACTGCTGGGCTGTGACGTGTTTTAGTAAGCTATGCAGTGTAACTGAATATTCAGAATATTAGTATAAGTATTTTTAAATGTCAGTAAAATCACTCCTACTCTAAGTACTATAATCATCATATAGTTTTTGAGGTAGTTTCTATTTTGTGGTGCTTTATTCTTGTAATTTGATTAATTTCCACCATACAGGCTTAGATTTTACACACCAAGCATTCATTACTAACAGCAAGCTTCGAGCGTCAAGCTATTTGCATGTAAAGTATGAGATGCAGTCATTTTGAGTTGGTGAAGAACCTCAGTACTTCTTCCAGCACTTAAGCTAACATATTATTTGTGTCTTTCAATAGGAGATCTCCACCAATCAGCTGTGTCTTCTGGACGAGTTTGAACTTGGGCAGAGTCAAGTCTTTCAAAATCTAAAGGCTGGTCCCAGTTTGGAGGTAACCACTGCTGCACAGCTTTGCTGTGTATGTGTGCATGATTAATAGCACTAGTGTTACAATACTAGAGAAGGCCTAATTAAAATGCTAGTAATATAACAGCAAAACATCCATTACAGGCAGTTGTTATGATATCAGACAAATGAGTTTGCTGACAATTATTCAGACATATTAGTGCTTACTGAGTTTATATGGATGCCATAGTTAACTGATTACATTTCACTGCCTTAGTAGTTGCTACTGATGTAGGATCTGTATTTTAAAAGTTAGTGGTATTCTCCTTAAATTCTGCTGCTCATCTGTATCTCTGCAGTGTGTGCTGGCCAGACATCTGAGGGAAAGTCCAGGGGAAAAGGCCAAGATGCAACACAGTTCTAGGTCCTTGCTTCAGGGGATAACTCGGCTCCTGGAACTGGGTGAAGAATGCATAAGAGAGAGAAAGATGAGCCAGGTTCACAGCTGCAGCAAACTTCAAGCTGTTCTCTGCACACACAAGGTATCTCACTTTCAGGAAGTTCTTCAAAACACAGACAAAGAGCAGATTTAAGTTTGGTACATTACTTCAAGAGTATGAAGCAAACTCCTGGTTTTTAAAGAGCCCCATGTTGCAAGCACAACCTCCACTAATTAATCATTAGACACCCGAGTATTTAGACCTCAATCACATCCAGTTTGTTGCCACATTTATTTAATTGATCATCGCTTTGCTCGTCTCTTGGTGATATAGAAGCTTCTGCAGGTCCTCAGGTCCCAGATGGCTTTTGTTCAGTATCTATCCCAACATGAGCCAGAAGCACTCAAGTGTCAAGAGAATGAACGGGTACACCTGGAAGCCAGGGCCAAATCACTGCAGCAACAGGCTCTGGAACAGGAAGTGGCTTCTCAAAGGAGACTTCAGGTTTGTAGCCCATATTTGCTGAAGGCCATATGAATTTATACATTCACAAATGTGCACTTTTGTTTCATTTTTCCTGGAAAAACATGCATTCATAGATTCAATTTCAAAGTAGAGGTTTGGATTTATATTTGGCTCTGCTCTAGGAGTGGACCCGTTGGGAGGATAATTGTGGTCGATTGGGGAGAGTGCTGGATGAGTCTGAAGCCTTCATCAGCAGATGGGAGCCTGAGGGAGATGATGATGAGGAGGAGTTAGTGCAGCACAGACTAGATGCCTGCCAGGTACATCCTGTCACACTTCACATAATTTGTTCTCACTTCTCTAAGTCAGAGTTGTTTTGTTACTTTTTTTCTTTCTCCTTAGCCTAATCTGTTTGTTTATGACTAGGAGCTAGTTTTCTCATTTTAGTGTGATAGGTTTATTTTCATTATTCGTACAGAAATCAGTTCATGTTAACATAAAAGGTTTCTTTTTTATAATGTTTTAAAGACAGAAAGAGAAGAAAGTGCTTCTTTTAATAAGAATCCTGGGCTCTAGTCTCCTGTATTTTCCAGAAAGCCCCTCAATAAACTACAAAGATGGTTAGTTGGTTAGATGGTTAGTACAAAAGATTGTACAACTCTTGCTCGCTCTGTAGGTGATTTTCCTGAGGATTTATAACAAAGCTATTCTGTTCCCATTCAGACCGTGCAATATCACCCAACAGTTTTTCATTGAATGTTTGTTTCATCTCCCCATCATATGCTGCTACTCTGTTATTCATTTGCACAATATTATGTCACTTTTAGAATCACCTGCACTGATAGCTAAGCTATTTATTTTTCAGGATATAGTTATATTGTTACTTGTTACAGTTATTTGATATTATATTTTGCACTATCCTACTGTATATTACTATATACTTGTACATATTGTATATCGTATTCCTCTGCTTCTCTGTCTCTCTTGCTGCATTGAGCATGTGTATGACAAAGGAATTTCACTCAGGATAAATAAAGTACTTCTTATCTTATCTCATCTTAGTTGAACATTATGTCAAGTTGTATTGTTTCATGAACAGGCAGCAGTAGGACAGGACTCTCCAGTTTACACTCAGAATTAATTTAAACTAAAAGCTGACAGCAACCATCAATCTATTTAGGATTTTATATCTCATTTGGTACTGCATATTTCACCACAGACTAATTACTAAAGTGATAGTTTTGTACCATCAGCTGCCTCTGTGCGTCATGACTCGAAATCACTGTGATGAAAATACATCCCCCAATAAATTAAACAGAAACCAAATAATGAGCTTCTTTAGGATTTGTGAGAGCTCTTTTCTTCACTGCAGTCACATCGTAATGAGTAATGTGTGTATGTGACACAGAGTGAGGAGCCAAGGTACTTGAGTCAATTTAGGACAAAGGAACGAATGGTGCTAAAATACTGGTGGGAAAATGGGAAAATAGAAGCTAACAGTGACAGTAATAAAGAGTGAACTGTGAAATAAAGAGAGCTGCAACCATAGTGAAGGCTTAGGTGGTATTTTGCTTTATTGGCACTGAGAATGAGAGATGATTTTTTTTGCATCTGCTATTAACTTGTTGATTTTCTGTCCTCTACCTCTTTCACGTATCATTTTTGCACGTCAGACTTTTAAAGTGTCTCTTTGAGCATTAGATCGAGTTTCCAGATATTCTAAGCATAAGCACTGATAAGTCTCCTTGTCACTTAGCAAACACTGGTCCAGCTGGATGACAACAAAACCACTTTAGGAGCAATTCTGGATCAGGGTAAGGTGCTGCAGGCAGAGCCCCTGCTTGCTGCATCAACCCATCAGACAGGCGGCGCTCTGGAGCTGCGTTGGAGGAATGCCTACAGGCGAACAGAGAAAAAGATTCAGCGCTGCAGAGACATCCAGGACAGCCAAATCAGGTGATCCAGGCTCACTGGGATCTTTATTATCTACTGGCTAAAGTTTAAACTGTTGCCTGCACAGAATGAAAAATGTTGCTGATTTTTTTTTTCTTCATTTGTTCTTTGTTCAAATATCTGCCAAAAGTCTCTTTCTACCCAGCATGAGCTTTTTAAAAGGTTGTTAAAAAGAACTTAGACCTCCCTAACAAGATGTTCTTTCACAACCTTTCAGTTTTACTATGTGAAAAAGTGCCTCACAACCAGCTGTCTTTAGTCTTCTATTGATTTGTGTGTAAGCTAAAGTACAATGAAGCCTGGTATAACCTGATGGCCTTGTGTGAAATGTTTAGAGTATAGGTATTGTGTGTGTTTCTTTGGTCTTTCCACAGCGATTCATTGTTCCATCATTTGATCGTGAAGTTAACCACTAATTACTGTTAGTCAAATGTTTGTCAGTGGATTCACAAAAGTTGCCATGGCGATTTTTAATAAGAATAATAACAGCACTTTAACTAGCAACCTGCAAAAATGATCTGGAATATATAAACAAATAACTTTGTAGCATACTTTATAGGAGCATCCTGAAATCCATATCTGAGTGACTTATGTTCTTTCCACAGACTGAACAGAACATTTAGTGGATTCATGTTGTTAGGTTTTTTTAAAAATTATGCTCAGAAATGTTGCCTGGGCTCTTAGTCAGTAAAAAGTGAAGCACAAAACGTGCCAAATGAAAAACAGACATAGGCAAAGAATTACTATATGAGTTCCTACAGCAACAATTCGACAATCTGTTGTACAGAAAGTTCCTTATATTCTTATTGAATGTATTCTACAGCCCAGACATCAGAAACCCCCCCCCCACTCATTTACAAGCCCTATTTATCACTTGTGGATCCAAGCCCAAGTCCTTACCTCACTCTGTATGAAGGTACAGTCATGTTCTGCCCCACTGGTTGAGCTATGTGCTTTTCCATCCTCCCCACAGATTCCACACCAACTTTGACTTGGTCAGTGAATGGCTGGCTGGTGCCAACAAACACCTGAAGACTTTGTCAGGTCTGGTAAATCTCTCTGACCTGAGTCAGGAGTGTGTTCAAAGCAATCTCATCAAGCTGCTGGTAAGGCTTTTCTGTGTTCTCATCAAATAGCCTTTGACCTAAAGAAGCTTAATAACAGCCCAGTTAAAGAATCGCTGCAGTCTGCCCCTAACATCCTAACATCTATCTTTTTCTTACTAGTTTGCTTTTTAATGAAATGATTCCTCATCGTTCCTGTGGTTTAAGTCTTTTTCAAGCACTTCGTAAAATGCATTTGTAAAATGTTACAGAACGCTACAATCTTTGGTATACGAGGTTGATATAAGCAGATACCATAACCCTAACCCTTTATTGCATTCTATGACATGATCATGAAGAAATTAATAAAAATTTGCTTCCTTACATGACATAATATTTAATCCTGTCCCCAGCTTTAGTTAGAACGGGCAAACACCACCTACAAAAAGTCCAAATAAATTAACACAAATTTGTAATGGATGGACATATGGGTCTAAACTGGCTGCTGGACAATATTGATTTGTTTTCTAATATTAGTTAACCTCAACATGTCCCCAGGACTTCTCCATGGAAGTGGAACGTATGTCTGTACTGAAGACCTCGGCATCCAAGCATGCTGCTCAGCTCCTCCAGCTGAGGGAGGCTGACTGCCCTGGACTGAGAACTCAGCTTACCCAACTGGAGAACAGCTGGAACCAGCTGACCTCTGACATGTCAAAAACCCAAGACCAGCTGCAACAGGTGCAGAATGTTTTCAAAAGACCCTAACTGTTAGATGAATAGCCCCTTTCTAGTGGTTTCTATAGTGGCCCAGTTTCCAATTTATTGAAGTTGGTTGGTTTTCAAAAATAATTGGGCACTGAAAACTCCTCTCCAGTTAGGGGAGTGCAACCTTAAACCCTGCTGAAATCTATATGAGGGTGAGTGAGGATAGGGAGGACCATGAATCTAGAAGACAGCCACGATTCAATTTCTCCTGAGCATTTATCACCAGAGAGTGGAACCAGATATTTGGCTTCATAATCATTCTGATGTTTAAAAATTTGGCAACCACAGAGAAGATAAAAAAGATTTAATAATGCGGATGTGCACAAAGGTCAGATAGTAATGGAGCAGATGTTTAAAAATATAATTACATTGTTAGATAAATCATATGAAGTAATCTAAAAAACGAACTAAAGTTAGGAATATATGTCATGTAAAGTGAACCTCCCTGCTTTCTTTATTATCTTTTCCCCGTTTAGTGTCTCCTGGCAGCACAGCCATCGATGGAGCTTCTCTCTGATCTGGAGGACTGGCTCAAACAGATGAAGAACTGCATGAACCAGGAGAAAGAAAAAGTCCTCAAGGCCAGCAGTGCAGCTCAGGTCACTGAGATCCTGCAGAATTTCCAGGTACTTAAACCGCCTCTGTTTTCACTTTTCCCTCTGCATCTATTTCAATTGGTTATATTTGAAAGGTTATTTCAGTGCCAGTCTTTACTTTGAATTGACGCAACCCATCCATCAATTTGTTTGACAATCAACAAGCGAGCATCTGAAATTTATACGTTGCTTTTTCCTTGAAAGGGTGCATTTCACTGTTCTCTCCTCGATATGGCTCTTATTTTTTCTGCTGTTATGTCAGTGACATCTATGAATCACATCCTGCAGTAAAAGCACTATAATTTAAACCACTAAAACAGTACTGATTTAATTCTTCAAAGACTGAAAGGTATGAAAAATGTAAGTTAAAAAAGTGGCATAACAGAGGCATCTACATTAAATCCGATTTGTTGGTCTATTCAAGCAGGGGAGAATCTAGCATGGTTTTCGGTTCGGTTTGCATAGTTTTATTCATTTTTTATGTTGTTTTTTTAGGTATTCAAAGCTGCTGTGACCAATGGGCAGCTCCTCCTTCATTTCCTGTGTCAGCCCAGGCCTCAGATGGCAGACATCCAGGCAGTCCGCTCTGAGCGTACAACGTTCGCAGAGGAACTCGGTGCCTCCAGGCTGCAGTGGCTGCACTTTCTGAGAGAGCTAGAAAGTCAGGTCTCTATCTCAGCAACTAATAAAACAGGCAGATTACTACTAATCTGATGCAACTGTAACCTCTATGTTTATCCATCTATCATATTTTTATTGATGCAAACAGATTTTTCAAGTTGGACATTGATAAAAGGCTATTATGTAAAAAATATGTGTGTGAGTTCATAGTGTGCTGCATCAGTGATTTATATCGGCACTGGAACCCCAAAGAGGCCATAAATCTATATTACGTTACAGCAACAGGAACAAGAAAATACATTTTTTTAACACCAACTCGGCTATAAAGACATAACTTTTCATGACTTTTTTGCTTGTCATGATTCATCCACCGTTTGGCTTTCTCTCATCAGATTTGTGGTGCTGAGCAGATCCATCGCACTTGTGCAGAAAGGGAGAGGCGTTTGCAGTGTCTCCACGGCTGGATAGAGCAGCAGAAGAAGCAGCTGAATCAGTGGAAACAGCCCACCAGCCAAACTCTGGCTCATAAGGCTCTGCTGGAGTGGGAGGTAAAGTAACAGGAGCAAAGAGATGAGGGCCTTTTGTAGAGTATCATCCCCTCCGCTCTGGTCTGATCTGAGAATGTGTTTTTTTTTTTGTCAGGCTCTTGAGGGTAGAGTGAAGGAAGTGGCTGCAGCTCTACAAGAGTTAAAAACCACACATGTGTACGATAAAAGGGAACAGGAGCGCCCATGTGATGTTGCCTTTTCTAATGAGGCAGAGGGCGTCAGTCATGCTTGCCGGGATCTTAGTCAAGAGGTAAAAGTCAGTCTTACTATAATTCAGTGCTAGATTACAGCATATTAAAACACAAGCTTTATAAGCTGTAAATCCTGTCCTGAGCAGATGATGAGAAGTATTTCAACCTGAAACACCTTGGACAACATGTAAAGTTATTGCTTTATGCTTGAGTAACACTTCCATACACAAAGGGGTCACTTATCATGATAGACCCACAGTGACTCATCACTCAGTTTTGCATTTTCCCTCTGCAAAGTGTTTTCAAGTTTATTGTTTTGGCTTTATGTCCTTCCACTCTTTCACTTGGTTTATTCTTTTTTCTGTCCCTTTTTCCAGACGTAGCAAACAAAGCTCTGATAAACTCACCCTGATCAGCACCATATGCCAAACATGGTGCTTAGTGCAGTCATATGTCTTACAAGTTGCTCAATAACTGCACAGAATGCATGGAGTACTCAAAAAATCATTCCAAATCTCAGATGAACTGAGCTACAGTATAAATTATCTTTATAAATGGTCTTGTTTCTGGCGGCCTTTCTAGATGAAAGCTCTGAGACCTGCGCTTCAACAGGTTGTGGAAAAGTGGAGTTGTTTCCACAGAGATCTGAGGGATGTGACTCTGCACACCACCAGGGTGCGCTGTGCCTTTCAGCATCAACAAGCTACTCTCTTCTTGCTGAAGCAGGCAGAGGGATACATGGACTTCCTCCTGGTAAGCCTTGTTGGTGAACCTTTATATCCAACTGTGTGCGTACAAAGCTACAAGAAAAATAATCACATGTTGTATTTCATTCTAACAATTATCATATTAATTAGTTTGACATGTCAGTTCCTGAAAGCCTTATATATTTGCCAGTGTTAAAGCAACAGTTTAGAAAAACAATGTTTTTGACCAACCAGCTGTAGCTGTATGAAGTTAAAAGCCCCTCATTCTAGTTGTGACAGATTTAGAATAGATGTAGGCACTCACAGATGTCAAGCCGTCAGTGCTTTTCAGTCTCTAAGCTTTAGTTTAGAGTAAGAAGGAATATAAAAGAAATGTGTTTTATGTCCCACAGCAACTCCAGGAGGAGGCTGGAAAAGGAGAAGCACTTTGGGCAGCTGTGAACAAATCCTGTCAGAGTCTTGTAGGGTCTCTCCATCATGGAGCGGCACAGGCACTACGTGATGAAGTGGAAGGAGAACAAAAACGGTCAGAGGCCTGCGTTGCAGTGCACGCAGCAATATTTCAATTAACAACTAAACATGTTACAGTTGCACACATCGTCAACTAAATCAGGCAACTATGGTCTTACTTTGTGCATGTTAGCGCTATACAGCCGCAAAGTAATCAAGCATTGCATCCTTCTCAGGTGGCAGAACACGGTGCAGGAGATAAAGGAGGAAAACATAAAGACAGAAGAGACGCTTTTGGTCTGGCAGGAATACACTCGTCTCTCTTGTAGCTGCTCTGCACAGCAGAAACACCTGCAGCATGAGTGGGAGGAGCTATCAAGGTCATCACTTTCAGCTGGACACAACACTCAAGCCATAGATGGCTCAGTAAAGGTGAGTCTAGGGCTGTTACTAGACTGTCTATACAGAACAGGTTGTTAGCAGAAATCAGCTGCCTCATACGCTTATGTAATGCTTCAGTATGCGTGTGTGAAGTTCTAGCAGTAAACCCACTGTTATCCACAATGTGATTTATGTCATAATAATAAAAAAATTCAAGTTATTGGATTTGTTTCATAAGGTTTTAAAGTAGCTTAAGACTGAGTAGATCAAATATCTGAAAGCATGAATAAATTTAAGTGGTTGAATTGAAACTATTTCTGGGATTATTAAAGGTTATCTTGAGCAAGCAAATAAGCTTATTAGGATTTAATAGATCTTATTTTTCATATCTGCCATTCTCAGTATTTAGAGTCATCAAATTCCCCCTTTGACTCATCCTGTACCTGGCATTGGTTTAGAGAGTACACGAATTACATACACAATTTAATTAAATGTTTTTCTCAATGACTGATCCTCTATTCTTGGAACTGAACAGGCAGCATGCATTTACTGGCAGAAATATCCAATGTGGTCTGTTCAGTTTTCATACATCTGATGTCCCCTCTTCGTGCGTAATTCTGATGCAGTATTACGTGTTTAATTTGGAAATTCTTTCTTTTTCTTTTTTTTTTTTAACAAAAAGCTTTTGCGGTGCTATTAATATTGGGGTTTTTCTTCTTCAAACTACACAGAAAAGTGTATTTTGTTAGAAAAAGAAGCTCTGATCTTCTGCTTTATTTAAAAAAAAAATCCTCAAATAAATTAGATGAAAACAATTTGAAAGGTTAAAAAGTTTTTCTGTTAAAGCTGCTGCTTAAAATTAAACACACTACATGGATATATATGAATATGAAAAATCAGAATTTTGTGTTTTGTTTTTTGTTCTTTTATCCAGAAGTTGCAGGGTGCTGCTGAAGAGCTGCAAAGCATCATGGGAGATGTCTTAGCAGCATCCAAGCCTCTTATTGGCCAGCTAGAACCACTACCTGCAAGTTTAATAGGATCAGAAACCAGACTGCTGTCGCGTGGCATCCTGTTGCTAAACGAGGCAATTGCAGAGAAAAAGAGGAGTGTTGAGGTGAGGGAAGTTATGTGAAATATTTTACCTGTGCAGTTTTCTTTCAGTCTAGCTTCCCACTGTATGAGAATTTATTATCGTCACACTGAGTGCAGAGGGACACTTTCTCAAACTCAAACTGTTATATATACTCAGTTACATTTCTTTGAATGTGCAGGAGGATTTAGAGCAACGTAAACTATTTCACGCCCAACTGGAGGTGTTCGAAAAGCAGATGCAGGACTTACAGCAGAAACTAAAGGCCGGCAAAGATAACACAGACTCTGTAAAGGTTCGTCGGACTCACTATTGTCTACATCCCTGTACACTTTATTAACAAATGCTCTTAAACTACAGTTGTTTCAAATATACCTGGGTTTGCAGCAGGTACTCCAGGAGCTCTGTGGTCTGTTTCCATCATTGCTGGACATCAGAGACATGAGTGGCCACCTGAATCTTAACAAACAGGAGTCAGAGAGACTGCACGTACTTATCAGGGAGTGGGTCGAAGTCATGACTCGTTCATCAGACAGGTGAGGAAGTTCAATTCACGAGAAAGCAAAGATAGTAATCTATGTGTAGCTGTCTGCACATTTAACAGTTTTTCAGGCAAATTCAGATATTTATGTATCACATAGCAGTGTACAATCATCATAAACAGAAAGTGTACCCTCTATTCTTAGGTTTTACATATTATAACACAGTAAATATAATTCTTATCAGGGTAAAGGTTAGCTAAATACAATCTCTTTTATCTTTTATCAATTTTAACTCACTTTTAAAAATAAATAAAATTAAAATTACTTCATTTTTATTTTGACTGTGAAAGTAAGAATTGCACGTCAGTTTCGTTGTTCAGTGTTTGATTGCTACAATGGCAATAAAAGATTCTGATTCTGAGGAACAACAAGAGATATTACACCGCGTCTGTTGGGAAGCACTAATGCAGCAATTCATTACATTTTTGTTAAATGAGTAATATATGGTGTATGCCATATATGTTATATGTTATATATGTTATATATTAATTTGAGCTTATAGTTACTTAATTTTAATTTCTGCAATGGACCAGATTATTTTTATTGTGTCCTGATAAATAAAGCCTCATAACTGAAGGTGGGGGTGTTTTTTGTAGTGTTGTTGTCTATTGCCAAATTCTTCTGAGGAATAACTTAGTGTGTCATTTTCTGGAGACAATGGATGCACTGAGTGTTCTTTTTCTGCGCTGTAGTAAAAGAAAGCTTTGCATGTTGATGTATGTTACATTTCTTTCCTAGAGAACTGCAGGATGAGTGCCAGCGTTCCCTGAGCTTTCAGGAAAAGAGTGGAAGATTGACACAGATCAAGGAGAAACTGGAGCAGGAAGCAGTGTGCAGAAAAAACCCGAGTTATTCAAGCCTTCAAGAGATGCTGATTGTCCATCAGGTAGATGGACCTCCTATAAGTAACTATTTGAAAAATTTGATAATTCACTTTGAAGCCAAACTAATGACCTCCTCGACCCAGTAATTTCATTTATCGCTGAGGCTGAGAGCATTGCAGCACTGGAGCAATTTTCATGTTATTTTGAAGAAAAGCTGTAATGCTGCAAGAAATGTAATTACAATTTTATTACACTTTTGAAATGTTTAATCATAAACAGTGTTTATTTCAAAAAAGATAAAGAGTGATGTAAGAATCACATTGTGCCCTCTTTTCTGCTCCCACAGAGACTTCAAGCTGACATAATGGTTGGACATCAGCTTCTGCAGCATCTTCTCTGTAATGCAATCAAATCCATGGAAAAAGAAACAGGAGAGAAAAGGTAAATGATGGATAAGTCAAGAAAAGGCTTAGAAGTAAATACTTTGCATATAATTATTTTACATAAAATGCTTATTTGTTGTTGCTAGTGTAATAAAATAACAACTGTATCAGTAGAATTTTCTTTAAATACATGAGACATTAAATGGTCAAAGTATAATCATAAAAGAAAATATTTGTAGAGTGCATACCCTTTTGATTTGTGTGGGAAATAATACAGCTGCAAGGATCCATTGCAAAAGACAAATGGGGGTGGTGATTTGACTAATGAGAGGTGGTTGTTTTGAGGTCTTAAACTGACTGAAAATAAATTACTGTGTGTGTGTGCATGGCAGACAACTGCTGTATTTTTCCTCGATGTCCTTGAATCCGTCTTTGAATTCTTTGAGAAGCTTGGAACGGTTTCAGAATTTTGAAAGAACCCAGAGGGAATTTTCCCTCGCTGCTGGAACCGCTGCTCACAGCTGGAAGACATTTTTAAGATCCCACTTATTTTGCAGTTGGTAATTTATAGATTGCAGATAAATCAGCTGTGACAGAGATGCCCTTATGCTGCATTAGTTGTAAAATTTTATGCTTTTTGTTTTTATGTGTGTATGTATGTGGACACACTGTAACACAGTTTTTATCGCCTCCATTTTATTTTATTTGTTTATGTGGTTTTAGTTTTAGTTGATTGTTTTGGACCCAATGACACACAAAAACTGAAATTGTATTTTGTTGGTTTTGTTGGTACAGATCTGAGCTCACGGCACAAGTGGTCAGTTTAAAGAATGGCTGGTTCAGCTCCGTGGCTCTGGCTGGTCAAAGCCGGACCTTAACAAAGGAACAGCTGCACCAATGGAGAATCTACAAGAATGGTTTGAAACATCTGTGGAAGTTGTTGAGGGACGCTGACTCTTTGCTGCCCCCAACTGGACGCTTTCTCTGTGCAGTGGATCAGCTGCAGAACTGTGTCGATGATTACCAGGTCAGTATAAAAATGTATTTTACAATGCAGTGGAAAAAAAAATTTGTTTTTTCTATATAAAGTCTGACCATGAAGTTTAAGTAATCCACCCATAAAAATGTGGGGAGATTTGCTACATTCATGAAGATTTCACAGTTCTCAAACCCACAGACACTGAATCAGGGCATGCGTGTTACCAGGAGCACGCTCATTGTTATTTTTTACGAGATTGTGCACTAGAAATTCCTCCTATGGCTGCGGGAGTACATCAGCAAAAGACATGTCTGAATGGCAATCCATACCATTGTGTGACAGCATGCAAAAGTTGTTGTTGTTTGCCTAAACCGACACAATCTTTGCTGATGAACCAGCCGTACTCACCAGGCTTAGTTCATTTGTCTATGTGTCCAAAACCAGAATCAACAGAGACAATTCAATTCAGTTAACCTCAGTGTTATTTTATATAGTTGCCTCAAGGCGCTTTGTATTGTAAAGTAAAGACCCTGCAATGATACAGAGAAAACCCCAACAATCAAATGACCCCCTGTAAGCAAGCACTTTGGCAACAGTGGGAAGAAAAAAATGATCTTTTAACAGGAAGAAACCTCCAGCAAAACTAGGCTCAGGGAGGGGCGGCCGTCTTCTGTGACCAGTTGGGGGTCACAGCAGACGTGACAGCCATGCTGTGGAAGAGAGGAACGAAGGAAAAGGGGACAGAAAGGGACTTCAATCTAGAGCAGCTGAAGTCCCAGAGATGCATGAGAAGAGGGCTTTGAAAGGGAGATCAGTCATATTAACTTAACGTTTTAGGTTTTTAATGGTTTTACTCAAAATTTTCACCCTAAAGACTATTTCTCCCCACATTTTTTCAAAGTGTATCACAGAGTCTCTGGATCAGCACTCCACTGTGTACACCCAGACACTGAAGGCTGGAAAACATCTGTGTGAAACAATGAAGGACTCAGAGTGTTACAGTCGACTGCAGTCAGAGTTTCAGGCCATAGATGAAGCCTGGCAACGAACCACATCACTACTGAGGGAAAGAAGAGACATGCTTTACACCACTGTTAAGGTAACATGCCTGTGTTTAATTTTTAGCATTTTTATGCTATATCTGAATCATCAGTTATTTAAAAGTGTACGAGTAAAATCCATATCCGAATCTCACTGTTTTGATTAATAGTCAAAAGACTTTATACAGTTCAGAAAGACCCAAGAAACCCAAAGCTGAAAATTCAGAAAACATAGAGGTCAATTTGCCATAATTTCCTGGGAATTCACTACCATCAGGGAACTGCAGGAGACAGATTCATGTGTCACTTTTAACAAAAAAAAGCCCACCCCCACCCGCCTGAAAGGTTTTTATCAATCATTAATAATAAAGAATAAGTTGAACTTTGGTGAAATAAAGGTCAGCACAGCAAACTCCTTCCCATTGGTTTTCACTGCATGAATCATATTCATTCAGCTTAGTTTTACTCCATAGCCTCACCAGGAGGGCCCAACCCACAGATTTATAACCGCTGACAGAGCAAGTCGTTCTCATTCACTTGGATCATTTCTCGCTGTTCTGTCAAAGACATTCGCCAGTTTTATGCACAAGGTGTCCTTTGGTGACTGAGCTTGATATACTGGATTGTGGCACCCAACACATCATACCCAACATGTTAATACAGCATGAACTGCTGTATTTGATTTAAACTAATCAAGCCTAACCCAAAGGATCAAATGAAAGTATCAGGAAGTAAAAAAAAAATAAAAAAATAACAAACAACAAAAATGAGTGCGTTTTATTACCACACTCCTAACATACACTTGTAGCTCTCTAAAATAGGACAAATATTGCCTCAACTGTTGTATCAAGGCTCCAACACCAAAGGAAATATTTTGCATAACATGGAAAGATGTAGGTGAGAAAGAAAATCTACACATATAAAAGGCAAGATAAACATTTACCATCCACTCTCCAGCTTAATCAAGAGACAGCATATTAGGTTTTACCTTAAAACTGCATTTATATCACTGCCTGATATGTTTTGAGTATTTAGAAAACTGCACCTTCAGGAAAATCAAGAAAAAGAGTGTGTCTGTGCACTAACAAAGGAGTAGGAGGTGTCTGCTTTGCATGACCCATATCTAGGACCTGATCCCAACCAACCCATACATACACACACGCACACACACTCAGGCTGGTGTGTTGCCCTGGCACTGAACTCCTGCCAAGAGGGATCAAAGAGCGACTCAAATCTCTCCATGATCCACATCCAGAGACAGCTGGTTGCCAGTGTCTGCCCCTTTCATTCCTTCAGTGCTTTACTGTAAGACCTAGACAGACCAGACATCGAACAAAATACCACCCTAATCTTATATTACAAGTAATACCTTTAAAAATACAGATACATGAGCATACCCTTTCATTATTTTTCATCAAGTCCTGCTAAGCGTGCTTGCTCTCTGACTATTAGAATATTCAGACCCTAACATTTGTGCTGGGTGAGCTGTGTTAATTATGACATCTGACTGGTTTCGTGACCAGAGAGAGGTCAGGCAAAGTTGTGTTAACCCCTTTAAGCTCAACAGGATCCAACCCGGACAAGGGAAATCCCTCTGAACAGCGTTTTAAAGGTCAGATCACACATAGATTGATAGAAAAACAGAATTGACTACTGCAGACATCATACAGAATAATATATTAAATTTTTAAGGACCCAAAGAGCTATGGTTTTGTAACATTTAAAAAAACAATTTCACTCAGGATTTATCACAGCATCTGAAAGCTTGACTGTTGAAAAACTAAGAACACTGATGACATTCTGAGTTTTTTCCTTTTATGAGGTTCATTAAATTTATTTTTGGAAGGCACATTTGGTGTCTGATAATTTAACATGTTAAAGCTGTCCCTGTCTTCTCTGAGGCATTTTATTGATGTGTTTTCAAGCACACTCCAGAGATCTCTGACCGCTCTGTGTCACGCTGCTTGTCTAGATGTGGTCTCGGTGTCAGGATGGAATCAGCAACATCGTGTCTGAAATGCACGAGTTAAAGATGAAACAACAGACGTGTGAAAGACCGGAGGACTCCGCTCTTATCCAGGTGATTTAATATAATATTGTAAAGGATGTGTTTTCATGTGTTTGTGAATGTATGAAAAGTAGAGGGATATAAATTGTAGAAAACTGCTGCGGGTATTTCAGAGCTCCACTTTTCTAACAGTGGAGTGAAAATACATTTCATAACATACTGTTTAAGAAATGAAGGCAATTTTTGATAATAAAACGAGCTGCTATGCTGTATGATTTCCAGACAGAATAGAACCTTTTGTACTCAGTTGTGCATATGAAATCTACCTCTATTCATCAAAGCAGTTAAAGAGCTTTTAAGCTTTATTATAGTTTTATTGCAATCAGCCTGCACAAAGTTTCAACAGTAATGCAACTCCATATATAATAAATGTGCATGTTTGCTACTTTTCCAAAGCATTAAATTATCTAGAAAACACACAGTCTGTAATTTACAAGTGTATCAAGATCAAATATGTAGAAATATGGCCTTTGGTTCTGTCAGTGCAGAGAAGATTAACTCTGTTTAGATTCAATTTAGATTTTAATGCATGAAAATACATTTAAATTTGTGCTTTTTTTATATCAAGGACTATCAAGGGTTTCACTTGCATTCCTGATAATAGGGTTTTCACATTTTAGTACTGCGGCTTCTTTCACCAAGGACAGTCACCTTCTCTGCTTCGGAAACAGTCTTTGAAAAACTCTTTGTCTTAACAGAGTAGGACCTCGTTCTCTGCAAATTAATTCTCAGAATCAGATCCACATGCTGCAGAAAAACAGGTACTGAGGGTTGCCAGCAGTGGACATTGTGTAATTTACTGAAATAATATACTTACTGAAAAGAAACAGAAGAACAGAAACAGTTTTGTCATTGCTGTAACACTGAAAATTTGACATCTCTCTATGTATGCCATTGGCACCTATATGACAGTAACCTATCATTTAAATCCCAATAAATAATTTGCAGTTTTCTGGACTGGTCTGAAAACTAGCCAGTTTCTGAACACTTCAATTTCATCAGTAGCTACCCCCATCCCACCAGAGAACCCCTGAGTTTACCCCCACCCCTCCTTTATTTAATATCCCCATGCTTTCACTCCCCTCCCCCTTTCTACCCCTTCTACCCTCCCCCTGTCCCGTCCACATCCTTTTAATCTGGACGGTCAGAGCGAAAAGAGAGAAGCGTGTTCACACACAACTTGTACATGGCTATCTGACCGGGTGCTCAAGTGTGCATGCTTGTGTGTGTTATGCAGGAGACTGAGCTCTCTCTGCAGCATTTGGCCATCGGATTGAAGGAACTGGCCAACATGAAGACGGACCTGTCCCAGTATGTCACGGCCAGTGACTCGGCTCTGCTGGAGAAGCAGCTGGAGCAACTCCACAGTCAGTGGGAAGAGCTGTGTATGAAGGTGAGAACTGACAGAGAAGTTTATATGTAAACAGAGAGCGGGGGGACTGTGTGTCTTAGGGACTGCAGATGAAACAGGTAAGAGAGAGAAAGAGAAGTTGGGGAGAGAAGGAGGGAAAAGTTGCTACCAGCTGTGTTTTGGCGGTGACCAGCCGCACAAAGCCTTACACCACACACAGAGACACGCACACAAACACACACAGACACTTACACTCATTTGTGTGAGAAAAGAGCCAGCGTGCGCAGGTTCATGGAGGGAAAACTGCATCTGTCTCCTTTTCAGCAATTTGCCTCCCTGCAAGCCAAATGACTTGTTTGTTAATATTTCCTCTGCAGTTTGGTGAATCTCACAGGTTGTTTTTAGATTGTATCCAGCAGAGCTTGTTCTGCTCGTATCAGCCAAGTAAAGAGAAGTCTTTTTAAAGTGAGAGCTTGAAAAAGTCAGGCTACCACAGCAGTCACATGAAGCTGTCTAAAACAACAGGGGGTTAATTCTGTAACTACATTATTGCAGAAAGTAGCTCCGCTGTATACACACAGGCTCAAATTCCTGCGACTAAGTCTTTCGGCTTAAGCACAAAATCACTCTTTTTCTTGAGAAACACACAGTTATGACAAGCTCTATACATTTTTGTCAGGGATTATGGTTTAATTTATGCTCATGCTAATAGAGTCCCCAATTATAGTCCACCTGCCCCTGTCTTGGCAGGAGTTACTGGGTTTCACGGTTATAGCAACAGCAGCCAGGAATGCATTGTGTGTGTAGTACTCTTGTTTTCTGTATGCAAACTGAAGTAGTTAACCTTAACTTTGCACAATACCATCATGTAATTGCCTGAAAGCCATCTGATTTCTTCCAGTAAAGACCACTCACTCACAGTTAGGTGTGTGTGATTTTTGTACTGAATCGTTTTTGTTAGTTTGATATAGAAAAGTCTAGACAGTAGTCTTAAAACGAATTTTTGTTAGTTTCAGCTGATAGATCACACCAAACATTTTTAATCCGTATTCATCCCTGACATGGCCGGGGGGCGTGGATCTGAGCCACTGCAGTTTCCTCTGCATAGTTAACAGGTGGTAGGTGGGGGAAGCCACCGGAATGGGTCTGATGAGCAGATGGCTCGGCTGGGCTAAGGGGGATTCAAGGGACTGGATCTATTGTTCCAGGGAAGCACTAAGTCCTCACAGGGTGACCGCGGCTCACAATGCACCCTAAATTCTCCTCCATTCCGATGCCAGTTCATTAAAACCAAAGCAGGGCTCATTTTAAAATAAAAGTGTCACTGAGCAATAAACTATGGCTGATGTAACATGCCCCATGGGCATGCTAAGCCCTTTAGCTTCAAAAAGATTATCACCCCCCGCAGCAATGAAATGGGGTGTTTTCATGGTATTAAGCTGTCATTAGGTAAATGGACCTTGTTAATTTCATCAAATATCAAGACTCTCCTGGGGATTTTTCTCAATTCAGTTGATTACTGATGAAATGCTATTTAACTGTAGCAAGAGAACATTTTTACCACGTTTTAATCTTTAATACCATGTAATCACACATTTTTATGCTTTGGGGCTTTTGAAGTGCCCTACAAATTTCATTAGTTATACACCCAGTTGCACCAAGTTCAACCACACAAATGCTTTTTTGTGCACTATATTTGGGTCAGACTGTTTCTTGGATGCATACCAGGGGGAGTCAAAACAATTAACCCTGTTTCAGATTGGACTGACAGTCATAAAGAAGTTCGTCACCACTCTTTTGGTTGTTTCCTGTAAGTCGACAGTAAATTTGCCAAAGAAAGTACCACGTTTACAACTATAGATGATTTTTCTCTCCATGATCTGCTTGTTAATTGTAACAAAACATTGTAAAAGATCTTGGAAAGGTTTAGTTAGAGAACCAGTAGATGTGCTCTGCACCATAGCACTTTGTAACTGCCAGCACTGAAGATTTATTAGAGTGAATTATTTTAGCGGGGCTTTATATATTGTAGCAGTATACCCAATGTGCAAACATAGCATGGTGATTATCTGAGAATAGGTAGTTCACACTTGTAATCTTTAACTTATAGCACTGCTTAAACACCACTTTTATTGCTTTGACTCTTCTTAGGTGTCATCGCGCAAGCAGGAAATCGCAGATCGTCTCAATGCGTGGACCATCTTCAATGACAAAAACAAGGAGTTCTGTGATTGGCTGACTCAGATGGAGCACAAAGTGTGCCACCGGGGAGAGCTGAGCATCAAAGAAATGGTGGAGAAACTAAAGAAGGTACGAGGCGTTGCCCAACACTAGAGTTTCACAGACAATAATCACCTCAATCAACAAAGGGATTGTTTATGGGTATTATTTTGACATTACTTTGAGGAAGTGTGTGTTCCAACAACTAGTTCATGAACTAAGGCATTCATATAAGCTCTATTTTAAGTCCATATATGAACTACATGTGCTGTGTTTATAACAGATGGTGGCCTAGAATTGATGATCTATAGGCCTTTTGTTTTTTCACAACAGTTGTCCTTCCTGTCTCAAGATGAAGTATGATTTCAGTTTTTTTAGAGGTTGTGTTTTTTTGCTTGTAGATGACCGGAGAAAATTGGAGCCCCTTGTCAGTACTTTTTATTAAGATAGTAGCTAAAGAAAATACTTTCTGGTAAAAAACCCAGTGCTTAAGGGAATGGAAATGGGCAGGTTGAATGACTATAACTCATCCATTTTATGCCTTTGCACTAAAACTTGATTAGGTGTGAACTTTTTCCCGATGAAGAAAAAACAGACAACATTTGGCTAATTGCCCTGTATCGTTAATCATGAGTTTTGATGTGGTTTGAGAACTACTGGAATAGTTTCCAGGTTTTCCAAGGTTACTTGCTGTTTTAAGGACTAAATGTTCACAAAGGATATAATGTTCATATATCAGCATCGTTTCATGTTTCCTTACAGGACTGTATGGAGGAAATTAACTTGTTTAGTGAGAATAAAAGCCATCTGAAACAGCTGGGAGAGCAGCTGCTCTTAGCCAGCGACGAGGCCAAGCAGGCACAGGTCCACGAGTCGCTGCAGGAAGTCAACCAGCGCTGGCACAACCTCTTCCACCAAATCGAAGCCAGGTGAGAGCAACCACAGCCGCCACAGAAGCTGCATGGTGTGACCTGCTAACAAAAGTGTTTATTTATGCCAGTTAAACACTTTGCAAAAGGCACTTAAGAAAGCAAATTGTGTATATACAGTGTGGCTCCCCATTCAGGAAGCACCTTTCAAAGACTAAAGGTAAAGTTATGGTAAGAATAAAAGATGAAGTGTGTATTTGTGCATGTGGCCAATGGTTTATAGAAGATTCAGGTTTACTGTGTACAGAACCAGCAATTCACATCATTATCCCCCCACCGAGCACTTTTCACATCAAACCTGCTCAGCAGTAAAAGGCATAATTAAGGACCAAAAAGGCTGTAATTAAACAGCAGCTCTTCTGGGTATCCATCCACCTGCTGCTGCGTTAGCTATGCTCTGCAGCTGTCAGGAATACATGGCCTCCAATGTTCAGACTGCAGAGGTTAAGCCTCTGTGTTTGTAAACTGTTACTGCCCCCCCTGACCCCTTAAAAACAGATGGACAGTCCTGTGGAAGAGCAGGAGATACAGACTCCTCTTTTTGCACTGCTGTTTAGCCCCTCCACCTCTATCATGAAAAAAATTGGCTGCGCCTAGCCTCCGACGGGAGCATATGTCCACTCTGAACCCCCCCCACCCCCCACCCCGTAGCCTGTCACTGGGATAACTATTGAAGGTGGGTGGGTGGGAGGGAGGCATATGTCGGTATGTATTAATTGCTGAATTTCAAATTGAGGCCCTCTCAAAAGACCCAGTGAGCAGATTTAAGCTGGCTTGACCACATGTAGACAAGATGGGAGCCAAGAATTCTTGATGGAGAAGAGTTTCTCTGCCATCCTGTAGTCTGCCAATAGATGAACTACACTATCTCTGTTTTTTTAACTGTCTGCCTCTGCTAGAAACATGGCATGCACTTTTTAACCCCAGAACAGTCAGACAACGTGTGCTAGTGAACTTAACCGAGCAAAGTCCTGGAGCCTAAATTAATTTAGATGCTTCTAATAGAAATAAAGTGTGAAACTATGAGGTTTCTTTATACACTTCTGTATGTAAATTGTAGAAGTGAAAATTCTGCACGAATGAGGAGCATTCATGCTCCTTATCTATGTTTTATTTTCAATTGCTAGTAGGCATGATTTAAATAGTCATGTTTGTAGCTAAATCTTTAGTTCAGGGAATAATTATCTAAAAACATCATACTGGATTAAACAAGTACTGTAAGAACAGTAAATGCCTTTTGGAGGTCAGTGTCTGGCTAACTTTGAGCCCTCCTGTGGTCAGCTGTACTTTATAGCCATGCATCCTCTCTTATCCTCCAGCTCCTTTCTGCTTCATTTTCTCTATCCATTCTCTTCGTGTCCTTTTCCTGAGCGAGTGCCTCTGACCGGGTTTTGTTTCTTTGTTTGGCCTCGGCGTGAAGCTGCTGGCCTTTGTTAGCCTGTCAGAGGTGCAGAAGGAGTGAATGGGAGAAAGAGACTGGTTAGTGGACCGAGTTGGTTGCATCTGCAAAGTGGAAGAATGTGTTTCTGAACAGAATTTATACTGACTGTATTAAGCCACAGTAGTTTCTCATATAAACGATCAAAATATACATTAATGTTTTGACTGAAGCTGGGAAAATGTTTGAGTTTGGGGTTTTTTCTTTTTCTTTTTAATTTTCCATTTTAATCCATTCAGTAAGTGTGTCTATTTAATAATGTGCTTTTTAATAAAACAGTAAATTTGACATGACTAATTATATTTTAGCATTGAAAATATTATTTTGATTATAGGGCTTGCTCATACTGATTCATTAACCTTTAGATAAACTAGAGAAAATATAAAGTTATTTTATATTTGCCTTAAACATTACGTTGGTTGGCCCAATAATATCCATGTATTCCTCTTACTCCTTTATTAATTGACCAAACAAACTTGGCATAGAAGTACTAATGAAGGTTCTCACCCATGTCCAATGACAACATCATATTACCTAGCAACCACCTACAATGGGTTTCTATGACCCATTTGTAGGTCACTTTCTTTTCTACTACTACTTTGATGTATTTCCAAATACTTAAAAAAACTGTTTTTTAAAAAAGAGACAGTTTGTAAAATGTAAATAAAAATGAATTCATTGATTTGCAAACCTGATAATTTTAGTGAACCTCTGCTCTTTTTTTACCCAATCGTGTTACTGATCTGTCAGCAATTTAACTAATTAGTAACAAAATTTTCCTCCAGGTGTTTTTTTTTTCTTTTTGACTCCACTTACATTTCCAGCCTTTTGTTGGCCACTTCCCAACTTTTTTGAGGCCTGTTGCTGCCATAACATTCTCTCCTCAAATGTTAAAATGTTTTATTTCAATATTTAGGATGTTTTCTACGGTCTGTTGTGAATACAATTTGGGTTTGACACAGCATCCCAACTTTTTCTTAACTAGGTTTTCAAAATATGCCGCTCGTTTACATTCTCACTTCTCCGTTATCTGTTGGGACCCTTTCATACATTCTTGAGGCAGACAATCACACTTGCAGCTGGTTTTTTAGTGCTTATTATTTCGGTGGAGAGCGTCTCCACTCTCACCCTTGACAGGCTCTGCTGGACCTCGTCAGCAGAGGAGGAAGGATCAAATGGGTAAATTAACTCAAACTCCCAAATGGGGCACACTTCAGGCTTTTAATGCTCAGAAGAGAGCTTTTATTGTTCCATACGTTGCTATGACACCAGTCACTGTGGCGCTCT